TCAATAAACCTAATACCTCCAGAGCCTACTGTACAATTTACAGTTTAAATTGTTCTTGCAGGTTATCATTCCGTTCATAATAGTGATGTGCACCTTTGAGACCATTCAAGTTGTAACGCAGCTTTCTTCCAGAAGGTAACCCTCTCACTGCAGACACTTGCCTTTTTGCCTATTTTTAAATGGATTCAACGTGTCTTACTTGCTTTCTGTCTTTTACTTGTGTTTCAGTCTATTCCTCATCGTCCTGGTCATCTCAGACTTAATGGCTCTGGTGAGGCCTTACCCTTTAAAAAACTACAGATTCCAATACCATCCTTTGTGTTTTTTGCCAATACTAAGCTAAATAAATATGCCACAAACTGAAAGCATTGTGGCACAACATGTAAAACATATTTTGAGTAAATTAGAGAAATAAAATTTGCATAGTTAACACAGCTAGGGGACAAACTTTTTTAAGTTTCCTCATTTCCAGTGGACTGTCTAACACTATTTCTTATATGGGTAAATTAAAAAAACACAATGTTGGTTGAATTTAAAAAAAAAAACAAAAAAAATTACTTGGTGACGTATAAACGTATAAATCTATCCACCGCTTCTTACACTGATCTTTTCTCCTGTCTTTGCTTGTGATGTTAAAATTTCCTCCTAACTGCTGACACTGTTGACATAATTTAATAAATTACCCATGATTGTAGAGTCACTGAACTGAAGGAGGAAATCAAAAGTATTAGTGTGCTGGATTGGCATGTTTACCAGTATGACTATTTCAGTGAATACTGGTATGAGGCCAGATACTTAATGCAAATACTCCTCTTTGAAACAATGGCCATTTCATTTTAGATCTATTGTGATAGTTTCTTAAACACTTAGGTGAATAACTTTATTTTTTAACTCACACTTCCTTCCCTCAGCACTTTTTCTTCCTGGTTCAGGACTATGGCAGCTGGTTGGACATTGGCACAAGGTAGGTCAACCTGAAAAAAGTCCAAATTAATAACTTGGCTCACAGACACATTATGTCCTTCTCCACTTTCCTTGACGTTAAAGGCATGTGTGATGCACTTATACTTCTTTTCTTTTTGTTTGCTCTGTCCTAGCATCAGCCATTATGTGATCGTGATGTCAATGACCATCTTCCTGATGCTGCTCAGTATCGTGACACACATTCTTACCTCAAAACGACTAACACTGTGGCGACGAAACAAGCTGCATTTTACCTAAATAACAAATGCCACTTTGAGTAGATGTCACATTATTGAATTGGTCAAAGGTGGAGGTTGTTTTTTCTTAAATTTTGTTACCACATAATAAGGGAAGTTATGTAAGTTAGTTTCAGTATACCTGATGGCGCAAGTCATTTTCAGCATTTACGTCTTGACTGCACGACAAAATAAAATGGCAGTTTACAACAGAAGAGTTGTTTGGTTTCTCTCTTAGAAAGTAATAACTTCCCCAGAATGATGAAATATATTTTCACAGTGTTCCTTGCTCTTTTCTTTTTTTTTTACACCAGCCAGGCCACATTGTTGTTGCATTAATCATTGATGAACTGACTAAACCCACTGTAATATTTGGTTTTGAATTAAGTCTTTGCCAGAGGTGATGGTTTGCCAAACCTACTAGTTTCCTGTAAAGCTTCATGACATTTGTTTTATACAGGAATCCAATTTAAATTTATTTTTTAAAGACTGTTTGTCTCATTGGAAGTGGAATAAGAAATGTTAATAAAGTTGTAATCAGTGAACAATAAGATAACTTTAGTTCTGGAGTTTCTACATCTCTCATTTAAGTCTTACTATATATATATGTATATTACAAGCCCCTGTTTGCTTACTGTCCAGGTAGGGGCTTATTTCTTGTTTATTTCTTGAAACCACTGGTCTTGTCTTAGGAACCATAGTTACTACTTAGATAATATAGTTATCTGATAAAATTATATATTTAATTATATAATATTATATAATATAATTATAAATACATTCACCTGGCCAATAACTGATTGTGAATATCACTATATATATATATATATATATATTTATTTATTTATTTTTTCAAAGAGTTACTACAAGACGCTTATTCCTGTTTGGTTTTCAGGAGTGGAAAAAGTGTTAGCTGTGTCATCACCACATCCCGTTTCACATACTACAAATGCAGACCAGTGCCCTCTGGACTATATTACTCAAACAAATAAATAAACTTTTAGATAACAGTGTTTAAAATTTAATGTATTTTAGACCTGAAAGTATCTGAGTATTAAAATAACTGAGGAGATAACCTAAAAGAGGAAGTCCCTGAGGTTGTGGCTTTTGTGTGACATGCATTCTCTCCTCTCTCTCTCTTTCTGTCTCTTTCTCTGTGTCTCTCTCTCTCTCTCTCTCTCACACACACACGGAAACACAATAACAGTGGTTAGTTGGCCAGCATTTACTTATTTTCACAGATACAGACATCACAGAGACCTAGCAGAAACAGACACATTCACTCACACACACGCATAGAAACTTTGTTTTGGAGCAGTTCTAGGCTTTAGAATAAATTAAGCATTAAAGGACCAAATGGAGTCAATTTGAAGAAAACAAACAAACACAACTCTGGATTAACACTCAAGGACGCCGATTAAGCAGCAGATTTGTCTTTGACCAAAAGCTAGGTAAGAAGGAATGTTTTAAAAATCGTAGTTAAAAATTAAAAAAAACAAAACTTTTTACTTGCATTGCTGTTTTAGTGATGGTACATCATGGTACATATATATATATATATATATTACAGAGAAATGTGTACATTTACACAAACATACTAATACATGGATCTGATATCTGTCCTATTTAAGTACCTGTAGAATATCACTCTTCCTCTGTGTTTTTAGGATGAATAACACAGAAACACGAACAGCCATGGAGAACACAACCAATCCACACAGCCTTCATGCTTTTGGATACCGCACCATCCTTTTATCCATCTACTGTATAGTTCTGGTCTGTGGAACTGTCTGCCTGAGCCTAACAATGCACATCCTGAAGTCCAGCTCCACATCCATAACCTCCATTGCTGTACTCAATCTCATCTTTGCTCATTTTATTTTCCTGGTCACTGTGCCCTTCAGGATTTACTATTATGCAACTGATAAGTGGACACTGGGGGCTGGCTTGTGTAAAGTGGTCAGTTCTATGATCCACACCCACATGTACATGTCTTTCATGTTCTGTGTGGTCATCCTCATCATGCGGCTAATGAATTTTTACCTAAAGTCCAATCAGCTGGCCTCTTTTAACAAAATTAAGGCATTCCTCTTCAGCTTCATGGTGTGGATTGTGGGACTCATCGTGGTTCCGTTAACTATCCATTATTGCTATGGCAAAAAGAAAGATTCCCCCCATGACAATGGCGCAGTTTGCTTCAACTTTGGGAAAAACATCCAGGATCTTGATGCCAAAGTGTTCAATTACATCGTTAGCTCACTTATCATACTGGTGGCCACTGTGCTGATGGCGCTGCAAGCCCATGTGGTGTGGGTCTTACACGGGAGGCGTCGTCAAGGATGTTCTTCTCAGCAGGACTTTGGAACTCAGGTGAAGAGCCTGTGCTTCGCTCTTATCATGTTTTTGTGCTTTGTCCCCTACCATGTATTTAGGCTCTACTATTTAGAAAACATCGAGCTGCAACAAATTAATGAGGTGTTTTTGAGTGTGACCACATTAAATTGCCTGGATATGCTTACATTGTTAGGGAAAAGAACCTGCTACACATGCTTCTACTGAAAGGCCATTTGATTGTAAAGGGATAAGGAACACATCATTTAGTAAATCATGTATTGTATCTTCATTAAAATGTGTCCTGCTTTTTGTTGTATGCGAAATATGTTGTCAAAAGCCTGTTTGTTTGACTCTCTGTAAGTACAGTATGTCCTAACAACTACATCCAGTGTTGGCATCTCTTTAACTCAATATTTAACGAACACTATAACAACTAAAGCTAACAATACCCAACAGAGTATCTCCACCACCAGAAATCAGAGATAAATAACCATTTGGTATTTAAGATACAAGATGTACTATAGTTTCTCCTCCCTCCCTGCAGGGGTTGCTTTATGCACATCTGAATGCACTACTTTAGTTCTTCCCAAACGTTTTCTGTGACGCCGACTTTCTATAAACATGACCATCGGTGAGCCTCCCCACTTCCTCACATTCACAGCTCTTGCTTCGAAACCTGCACATTTACTACTAAAACACCAAAACTCATACAAAGCAACTATTCTCGTTTTGAATATTTTAAAATGTATTTTTCATACTGCAGACTCCACCCAAAAAAAACTAGATGCTCTTTAGGGCAGTGGTTCTCAAACTTCTGCTACTCTGTACCACCTGAGAAAACACTGATCTCTCTGAGTACCACCATGATGACCAACATTAGAAAATAGCAGCGTAGGCCTTCCCTATTAGCCTCCACCACACAGGAGAGATGTTTATTAATGTTTAGAAAGATGTTTATGTTTAAATGTTGTATTAATTGTGCTTGCTACGTTTCACATTTATCCAGTTGAAAAAGCGAAAATATGAATTTCCCCCATGTACCACTAGAGAGCATTTGCGTACCACTGGTTTGTGCTTGGTTTCAAATCACAGTTTGAGAATCACTGCCCTGTAGTTCATACCATACTTTGGGCCTTATACCATACTTTGGGAACCACTTCCTTAATTAGTTGACCACAGTGGTGCAAAGGATTGTTTCATATCATCCTGAAATTGTTGAGAATGTTCCACTGAACTCAACACTGTTGCAATAAGATTACAAAAGCAACACCATGTTGCTCAAAAAGTTTAAAAAAAAAAGTAACAGGTTCTTGTAACTGTGACAGATTGCATGTTGTTTATTTTCAATGCATAAGGTAATGTTGAGATTAACAAGGGGAAGACGATGTTTACACATCCAGACGTTTGACTGCACCGACTGTCAACCATTATTAACCCATTACTGTATGGCCAGAGCTCAGGTGCATGAAAGGAACGTCCAGAATCATTACTCTATTTTGTGAAACATTACCCTGAATGATTTGCATGTTTTACTTTTTGCCCTCAGAGGTGTTGTTAGAAGCTCTCTCACACACATACATACTCTCTCTCACACACACACACACACACAAACTGGTGGTCCTTTTCCTTTTGGTTTTATGGCGCTGGGTTACTGTTTAACATCCACACCCTAGTTTGCGTTTGTTTAGTAAATCGATCTAATGACTGGTCTATGGTGTCACCATCCAATGTGTAGCTCCATGAATTAGAGGCCGCTTAGCTGTCCAACCTTCCCCTTTAACATTGTCCCACACCTTTATATCATTTGTGCGTCCTCCGTGTCAGTTCCATTCATGTTGCGTTGACGTGCTACTCGCCACAGTGAGTACAGTAGAGCCGAGCTGCTGGATAAATGCGCCTTCTGAACGGACACAAGAACACAGGTGAGTCCAACTGTTTCCTGTACTCTGCAATAGCATGTCTGCTGCCTCTGTACCTCAGCTATGTGTTCACTCGAGTCTAACAGTTTCTCAAGCAAAGTTGTCAACACTTTCTGTACATTGTTTGGTTTGTTCTGCACATCTGGCATACAGATCTGCTTTAACCTTCAGATCTAGTGCTTACACACACATACACGGAGAAAGCAGAGACTGTGTGTGTAAGATTGGAGAGTGCTCTCTGTGCCAGACAGTGTTTTGTAAAAACAGATAAGGCTTGCTTTGTGGTTTTCTTTCTGCTGTAAAGTTCACCTGATAAGCCACACATCGTCTCACAAGAATAGTCATAATGGGTAATAAGGACATAATCATGCTAAACAGGAAGATTGGCAGAAGTAAAGCTACTGCACAATACTGCCACACAGTGTGGAGAGTGCATTAGTGAATGTTTTCCCAGACTTTTAGTAAAGGTTTTGGGTTTATTCTGGATACTGGATGGTACAGAAGTAATCCTCATTAAGGACAACTATTATTTTTACTTTTCAAATGTGACTCCTGGATCAACATTTAATTACTACTCAGCCAAATGTATACTACACTATATATACTGTACTGTACTGAATAATATAAAATCAGAATATATATATATATATATATNTCAATATCATAAAACCAACGTTAAACTTCTGACAGTTTTGTCACTCCAAATAATATTCAATAGCAATGCTGACTGAATCAGGAGAAATCATCAATGACATTTTAATACAGCCTTATCTCTAAATTTCTAAATCTCTAACAATTTTTTCTCTTCCTTCTTCCTGGTTAAAAATACAATTGAATGTACCCATCTCTAACAGGCGGTGACCTAGATTTTGCCACTGTAGCCAGCTGTGGTTAAATCTTTGTAGCAAACAATATTCTTCTATAACTGCAGGTTACTATAGTCTGTTGGGAGGCTGCTCCTCATCTGCAGCCATTACAAGCGCTAATCTAAATAGAGGCGACAGGATTATGGCCAGTTCACACAGTGATAGCCTCTCTGTGCTGCGTTTTATGGCTGTAAAGAGCTTTTGGTTGCTAGGCGGGCACAAGGTTATGTCCTGCTCATACCTTGGATGTTTTTATGTAACCTTTTTTTTGAAGGTGTAGTAACGTACAACATTTTAAAATGAGTGTCTGTACATTTCTAAGTTGACAGGTGGATTTTATATGTTGCAGTAATGAGCAGAATGAACAGGGAAAAAAATCAAAAGTTCCCAAGTGCCTCTTTTTACTAGAGTGCCAGAAAAGAGGAGTGGAAAAGGAAATACAAACAGAAGTCCAGGGCAAGAACAGGAACAGGAGAGTTACAGTAAATGCTTTGTGTTTACTCTGAACAGTACAACCTTAAAATTCTCATTGTTTTATCTTTAAAAAGAATAAAAAAGCAGAGTGACACCATCTAAGAAAATATGTCAATTACAGCAGAATCTCAACATCGGTTACCAGGGTCAGCAAAACGTTCTATGAGAATTTGTCAAAAAACTTTACATACAAAAATAACAAAGCTATTTCTCTACATAACTTTCATTTAGGTCTGAACATTTCTAAGCTGTACGTTCATTGGCCAATGCCTTCTTTCCCAGAAAGAAAATCAAAACACATCCCAAAGCATCAGAAATACCAACAGGTTCTGTTCAAGTTTGGTTAAAAAGTTGATCTTTGTTTTGAGTTTCATTTTTGAAGGTGAAAAATAAATTGAAACACAGCTACTGCAGACGCTTCACAAAGACAAAACTTGTCGAAGCTGTTGGAGATGCCTCAGAAACACGTCTAATATTCAGTTTCGTATGAAAAAGAGTAAATCTAGATTTTGTCTTTTTGTTTTGCATGGAACAAAAGTGAAAGAAGTAAATCATAGATCAGATTTCATAGTTAAATTGTAAATCTATCACCCCAACCACCCCATCCTGCATGTCTCTAGGCTCCCTAATATTATCAATATTAGATCATTTAACTTCAAGCAAGATCTCCTTGTTGTGTTTTTGCACTGAGAATGCTTCCCCTCTGGCCGTACCACTGTGGCCACAGTTGCTTTGCCTCATTACAAATGCAGGGCATGGAATCTCCTATAATAATCCCTCTTATCGTTTACAGCCTCTTCTAACAATGCCCGCATGAATCACCTTTATGCCACACAGTCAGATTTAGTGCAGTGAAACTCTTGGTGAAGAATGGCTGGGTTGGGACATTAAATGGCTTTATGATAGCAAATTCTCAAGTGTTTACAACAGTCTGTACCCTGAGAGGTGGAGGCAGCTCCCTGACAACTGTTTAACTTCTACTTTTGATTCCAAACTGTTGGCTTTGTCTGATTCTCACATTCATAATTTCCAGGAAATGCCCTGAAAGAGTCAAAAGTAGGGCTGAGGTTTTACCACCCCGGTCAAAAATGGAGTATTCTGAACATTAAGGCAGAGAGATGCTGCGAATGACAGTGAACATCATTAGCTAACACTGTAGCTGAGCTAAATAAAATCTATCTAATAGTGAACATCCAATGGGAATCTAAATATGAACTAACTAAAAGATTACATGGCAGGTTTCACTAAGTGTTAATGTTGCAGGAGGTGTTTGTTTTACAGTGTAAGGTGAGCTAATGCAAAACACTGTAAAATTCCTTTTTTTTTTTTTTTTTTAATGAACAAATGCTGGGATTTGATCCCGTGCAGTGTGTTTGCGTAGAGGTTGATGGGACTTATCAGTGTTTTGCACTTCACTCTATGTCTTTATAGATTAAATCTGCTGAGGTGGTGCTGCTATTACTTCACTATTGATTAGATTAGGAGGACTGGAAAGGACACACACGTTTGCATGCACACACACACAAACAAGATCACTCGTACACACACACACCATTGTCAATAACCACCCACCTACCCATCACTGCCATACATGCAGGTATGCACCTCAAACACACCCTGTCCCTCAAAATCGTGTGAAAAAGACCTTAATACCGACACAGAGCAAAGGGGGGAGTGTGTGTGTGTGTGTGTATGTGTGTGTGTGGGGGGGGACTAACTCTGTATCTTTATCCCGGTGATAAGTGTGAAGGAGAAGAACAGATAAGTAACAGTGTCATAAAGCAAGAAGTCTCCAGCCACAGCTCCTCCCCTCTTCCCCCACCTGCCCCAATCAGCTGGGATTATAGATCCTTTATTCCAGAGAACTGCCTTGTTATGTCTGTCAGAATTAAACAGGAGCAGGGACAGCGAGAAAACTGGGAAGAGTGGAAGAAGAGGAAAAAAGGGGGAGTGTGTAAGGGAGCGGTTTTAAGACAGGGATGAAGTATCCTCCGGCACCTCAGAGTAAATCTCTGTTAGATATGGAAGTAGCCAACTACTGTGATGGCCTCGACCCCTCATACAGCACACTGGGCTTTGAGAATGCAGAGGTGCTCTGTGGGGGAGGAGGTAAGTGTGAGTATATCTCTCTCTCTCACTATCACACACACACACACACACACAAACACACTTTAAGTCAGGTGTGGATTTCTCTATCCATATACTGTGTTGTTTTCGTATTGTTTTTCCAAATAAGGCCAATGTTGTCATTTTTGTTGCCATCATTGCTAACTTTTTTAAAAAAGTGTTTGTTTAATTGTTACTAAATACCATTACTAAACAACACAAAAATAAATGAAAGTGGGCTAGGTACAGTTTGACATCTACTTTAGAAAAAGGTGTTATTAATGAGATCAAGCGTTCACCACAGTAACAGTTGTTTCTTACAGGAAAAGGAAACTATCAGGTGCGGTTGTCCTGCACGTACCGTGCTAATGAGTTACTGTACACCCAAATTCATTGACAGGAACCCTTACTGCATTATACTTAATGCTGCCCAGTAATGGTGTTTTCCTCCATTTGTTTGTTAACAGTGACTGTAAAAAAATTGAAATGTAACTGCTGGAGTGTGCAAGTGGGAATGTGCAGTGGTGAAGGAAAGAGAAGGGGTAGGTCAAGGCCGTAAAGGTGTGATATCAGAGCAGTAATGAAACTCTTTAGGTCGTAACTGCAGGTATGTGTCATAAAGGCGTTTTATTGGAGAGTCAGTGTGTTCCTTGGTGATACACTGATGTCACCTCAGCACGGGAATGTGCATTTGTTCAAATTCAGCTTGCCGTATCGTTGCACTGCCTCGTGCGGGAATTAAAGACACTGTGCTGTGTGCTTCGTTGAAAGGGTGATGGAAGCAGACGGTAGTATTAATGGGCAGCTGCTGTGTTCACGTCAGGCCTTTGACACAGCCATAAATATGCAGCTGTTGATGATGATTACGGTTTTCATTATGGCAGTAATGCAGCTGATAATGATTACAATGATGATGACCGTAATGATAATAATAATGATGATGATGAGCGCAGTGAGTGGATGATTGTAGTTGTAATGACACGGACAATAATGTTTAACATGCCCGACAGCTGAATGGCTGTTTACTCTCTATGCTGGTGCCGGATCCATAGACAAAAATGTGCAAAGAAAAACAAATAATTTAGTTGTA